CAGAAATACCAAATTAAGCAAAAATAAATAAATAAATAAAAAGATCGTTTTGCTTCTTATCCATGGGGTAATGAAGGCAGATTGATATAAGAAAGTCTTTTCAAGGTATGTGCTTACCTCTTTACTCCTAACATGCCGTATGTAGCTGGTTCAAGTGCATGTGTGAAATTTATGAACATTATGTAGGCACATGTGCAGCCCCAGCATGCTCTGGAAGGTCCCAAGATGTGACCCCGGGGCCTTTCCCATGCTGGCCCCCATCCCCGCAGTAGTGTTCATGGGGGGCCGTGCTTTCCCAGAAGGGACCACCCCCCCACTGCGGGCTAAGGTTCATGCTGACCCGTGGGCTGGCACTCCCTGTGGGACGCCGGGACAGCGAATGACGGTGATGCCGACTGGACTGGCAGCCCGCGCCTCACGTGGCAACTGTATTACTCGTTTCCGAGATTAACTGGCGAAGACAGACAAAGTCAGGCACATACGAATTTCCAGATTCAAATCCTGCCATGGACGCTTTGCTAGCCGTGTCCAGTGAGCAGCCCTCCAGCTCAGCTTAGCCCTCCCATGGCCTTACTCCGCTGTCCAAAACGCAGCTTCTTCCCCTTCCTGAGGTGGTGTCTGGCATTGGGGTGGGTGGAGGGCTCATGGCAGAGAAGCGAAGGTACCTCTCATGACACACGGGTCCTGTGTCATCCCTGGGTCTCGGCAGACTGAGGAGGCACCACCTCTGTGCTTGGTCAGGCCGCCGTCCACTGCCTACTGGCCTCCGAGGCCCAAGGCACAGCCAAGGGAGTCAGCGTCATTTTCTCCTAGCCCCTGGAGCCAGGAGTGCTCCCCGCCACCACGTCAGCCCTCACTGGCCTGAGGTCCCGGCCCCGGCCATGGGTCACATTTAACCCCTGGCTGGGTGGTCCACCACACATCGCTCTGACATTGAGTCACTTCTGAACAGCTGCCACCCCTCCAGGGACCTGCGGTGATCGTGAGGGGCCAGCCCCCCTTGCCACCATGATGACTTAACATGCACATGGTCATCTCTGCCACAGAGAGGAGCACCTGGAAGGGGTTCTCGAGGTGCCACGTGGGGGCCACAGCCTGCACCGAGGCAGCCTGGGTTGGTGGAGAAGATTGTGGAGTCAGGTCTCGAACTGCCTGAGGATCTGAAGAGGCTGTGTCCTGCTGCTGGCCAGGGCTGTGTCACCTGAAGGCTTGGCTGGGGCTGGGGGACCCCCTGCGGTTCACTCTGCTGATAATAGATGGAGACAGGAGGCCCTGACTTCCCACCACAGGGATGCCGCATGCATTGCAGACAGCGGTTGGGGCCCTGGACAGCACTCGGAGGGGGACAAGCACGCAAGAGCAGCAGTTCGTGGTCTCGCCCCTGAAGACGTGCGCTTTGCTCTGGACTCTCAGGCTTTGCCTCTAGAAGAGAAGGTTGTCAAAGAATTTGTGGACGTTGTAGAGCCACCACCGTGTCCAGCTCCCCTTCTAAACTCCGGCTCGCCCCCCCCTCCTGTGGAGGACGCGGGGGCCCTCAACTCTGTCTCCGAGAGGGTGTGGCTGCTGCATCAGCCAGTGTGCACACACATGTGCACACACATGTGCACACACATGTGCACAGCTGCCCATTACGCCACAGCTAGGATGCACGTTGGCTTTCCCCTCTGTCCGAGGACACAAAGGACATTGAAGGTGCTTCTGGTGACACATGGGCCACGTGGCTGAGGACAGCAGGGCCGTGCCCTACCCACACATGCCACTAGAGAAGACGAGGGGCCCCTCGGTGTGGGAAACGATTCTGTGGCCTCTGCCCAATCCAGGGAGGCTACCGCGTGTGTCCCGAGTGCCTCTAGGAGGCCTCCCCGAGTATGCAGGCCTGCTGCTCCAGCTCTCCCTCCGCCACCCCCGGTCCCCACCCCTCCCTTCATGGGGTTGACTCTTCATCCTACAGGCGTGGCTCAAGTGCTGCCTTCTCAGGGACAGCTGTCCAGGCCACCATCTAGAAAGAACCTGTCGCTGTTACATTAGGTAGCGCTTCGGCTTACGGCTCTTGGTGGAAGGTAACACTCCCCGCAAGTCTGTGACTGTTCGTGTGGCTGCTTCTCTGCTGCCCACCTCCTTCTCCAGGTGCTAAGTGCCTTGAAGATAATTCCATTCAAAATGTTCTCTTTTAGATATTTTTAGTCCCCATTGGTACCCCCCACACACACACACACGGGCACGTGCACGCACACATATGCACATACATTAGTGTGTGTGTGTGTGTGTGTGTGTACTCTGGCATTCGTACAGATAATATATGAGGAAAAGGGGAGTAGCAAGCAGTCTACATAGACCGTGTGAGCTGCAATTACATTTCCCTGAACTCGTAGCTGAAAGATAATAAAATTCAGCATCTCTGTTAGCATTCAGAATAGTTAATTCAGGGGCAAGCAATTTAGATGAATTTTAGATGAGAAATTGAATTTTCAGCAGCACAGCGGGAACGCCGTCACTTGCTGTAGCTGAGGACGGTTATCAGTGATTAGTGTCCCTGTGCCTGACGTGGCAGCTCTTACGCCACTGGCTCTGCAGACGGGCCATGCAATGCACAGTCACCCTCATGTCAGAGTCAGCGTGGAGGCCATGGAGGACAGAGACGAGCCGCTCCCTCAACCGTGAGAAACGAGGAGTGTGCTGTTGGCCAGGCCTGGCCCCAGGGCAGGGCACAGTAACCAGGAAATTGAGTGGTCATGGGAAGACACCCAGGGCCGGCTCGTTTTACACAGGCTCAGCAGCGTGTCTTGGACAGTGGGCCCCCAGAGCCTTCCTCTGGCCTTCTCATGGTCTTTTCATGAAGCCCTGTGGTTGAAGAGGGGGCACTCCAGCCTGCCAAAGGACGCAGATGTGGGAACAGGCAGGGTCACCCTTCTGGCCCAAGAGATGGTCAAGTGGGGTTTTCAGTGTGCACGGGGCCCCAGCACTGGCTGTGCACAGTCTGACCAGCCATCAGCAGGTCTCAAGCTGCGGTTTTTCTCTGAGACGCTCTGTGGTCGGAGCCTCCCTTCCATCTACAACTTGATAGCATCAGGCTCTGCACGTGTGTGCCTCCCACATTGTGTAATACATGTATGCATGTGTAATACATGTATGATGCATGGACATGCATAAATCATGGGCTTTCTGAGCCAGAAGAAATCATTTCTGTTTTTTCGATTGCCAGAGGGTGAACATGCACACCAGGGACAGAGAGAGAGAAGCACCCCAGTGGGGTGTGGCCACATGCAGTCTCCCCTCCACTTCTTTGTCCTATTTGGATTTGGGGTGTGCACATATGTGCACCTGGCATGTTTTTAAGGTGGTGTGGCCGTGGGATCTGGCTCCCTTAACCTCCAGACTATGGGACCAGCCCTCTGAGTGCATTTTAATCTCCCTACAGAATTCAGGGACTTCAGGCGACATATTGACTGCTCAGAGGACGACGGCGACAAAATCTTTCCCCAGAGACAACAGTGTGGTCCCTCCCAGCGGGTCCTTACAGGAGAGCTTAGGCCTCGCTGACTCATTGGTGGTCTGGTGCAGAAACTCACCAAGTATTGCTCTATGCTTGCTGGAGACATTTGGGTCACCCATTAGAGAAAGACACACGACTTCTTAAAATGCTTCATAATATGGCCAGCAGACGGTGTAGCAGTTATGTCGCTGGACTCCCACATGGCTGAACAGAGTTCGAGTCCCAGACCCAGTGGCTTGCAAATCGTACCTGGCATGTGTGTGTACCTGCCCAAAACCCCAAGAAGAGAATGGAGGAGAATGGATTTTGGCATGGCCATCCCCCTGGAGGGTGATCTCTCACTTTCCTTCTCACTGTCTCTGTCTCTCTCTTCTTCCAGCGAGTGTGTGCACCCTAAGGCAAAAACCTCTTAAAAAATAAAAAGCTTTGGGACCAGCAGATGGTGTAATGGTTATGTCACTGAAATCCCACATTGTTGACCGTGGTTCAAGTCCCAGACCTGGTGGCTTAAAACTCATACCAGGCACATGTGCATGCATGCCCAAAATCCTGAGAGGGGAATGGAGAAGGGATTGCAGCATGGCCATCTCCCCTGGGGAGTCATTTCTTGCTTCCTGTCTCTCTTTCTCTTTTTGTCTCTCCAGCAAGTGCATGCACCCTATGGCAAAAATCTCTCAAAAAAAGCTTGGTAATCATCCCTAAATGACTATAAAATTACTGAGTTTTACGAGTACAGGGAACTCGGTTGCCTCTGAGAACGCATACACCACAGCAATTGATTTGTACAATTGACAATTTCTCACCAGCTTGTTCGATTCTAATATTTACTGCAGTATGGAACCAGGTTATAAATAATTATGTTTTCTATAAATTTGTATGTCTCTGTAAAATACAACATTTAGTTGAAATATTTCAGATCTGATTGCTTTTACAGCATAAATATTCTCTCTCTTGAGACAGGTGTGAGTCACCAGATTCCAGGAAGGGATACGGCAATGGGTACAGGCAGCCTGCACGGGCCTCAGGACTCCTGGTCCCACCGCTGCCCCGCGGATCAGGCCCTGAGTGACTCGGCCGGGCGTGTCAGGGTCTGTCTGAGCATTTCCGCTTATAGCAGAGACTTCCCGTCGGATACGCCCTCCCCGCTTATTCTGCCCCGAACGCGTAGAGACCCCACGTGAGCCGGGGCCACGCTCACCGTCACGGAGGGTTGTCACGCTCACGCAGCTTCCTGTGGAAACTGCTCCTGTGTGTTCACATGCACTTAACTGGGCCTGCCGTCTTTCTGGCCCACGGTATCCGACATGCTCAAATGGAAGCAAGTAACAAAAACACTAAACGACATTTCCTTTTCCTTCTTTAAAAGACTAATTATTCAACACTATCTTGTGGCATCCCTTCGCTGTCTGATACATATTTTACAGATTTGGAGAGCTTCAAATGTGAAGTGCTGATTAGCAAAATTAACAACCCAAATAACTGAAGCACAGTATACTTAAAGCTCTGGGCCTTTAATTTTAACTTTTGGCAGACATACGATCTGACTGCTACGAACTGAGCTGTCCGCGAGCCACGTGCCGGGGTGCTTAGCCCGTCTCTTCTCAGCAGGACCTGACTTGGTTTTCCTGAAAAGGATCTGAACAAGCGAAATATCGAGAGCTCACCACCAACAGGAGTAGGAAGAACGCTTTGGAAACTGCCTTTCTGCTTTGTTTTTCTTCCCTTATTTCTAGGGTCATGAGACAGTCCCTCTCCTGGGAACACTCCCCCACAGAACCACGTCACCCCTTCCTAATCTCCACACACTGGTACACGTTCCCGCCCCATGAGGCCACGCTGACTGAAATGGCAGCCAGCCTCCTCCCTGGCCCGTCCCTCGCCTCCCGGTTTCTCACGCCTCTCGTCACCTCCAGGCACGGTGTAGAGTGTGCCCATTCTCCGATATCACTGTGCGTCCTCCAGGCAGGCTAGCTCCACGACGGGTACTTTCCATCATCCCCCTTCCTGGTCGCCAAAAGGGTGCTTGTCGCCTAGAGGGCATTCACTGGACACCAGCGATCCCGCACGACCTCCCCACTGGCCAGGATTTGAGCCACCTTTATCGATGTGCTTTGTCGGGAGTGCTAGAACGTCTTCACAACATTTTTGTTTATTTTTTTCTTTTTTTGGAGAGGTTTTTGCTATAGGGCATGTGCGCTCGCCAGACAGACAGAGAGAGACACAGAGCCAGAAAGTGAGATATAACCTCCCAGGGGGGGGGGATGGCAACACCGCAATCCCTTCTCCTCCATTCGCCTCTCGGGATCTTGGGCACGCACGCACACGCGCCCGGCGTGAGTTCAAGCCACCAGGTCCGGCACTCAAACCGTGGTTGACTACGTGGGAGTCCAGCGACATAGCCATTATGCTAACTGCTGGTCCCTTCAAAACGTTTTTGGACTGAGAACAAAACTCGGGATGTCAGGACTTGGTCAGGGTGGTCTGCTCCTGACCTGCGCCCTCGGAGGGTACACAGCTGTCTCCCAGTGCTGCTGCAACCCTTCAGTGAACACGTCCCCTCGCACGGAGGCCGCTTAGCTACGCTAAAGTGTGAGTTGTGGATCAAATCGATTTTTAGGTTTTAGGTAATAAAATGGGATATTGGTCCTACACTCAGACCTTTTACAAAAGGGAACATTTCCCCTCTTGTTATGGTAGGCAGATCTGGAACTAGAACTAATCATTTCAAATTGTTCTCATGGCCCTGGAAACACATTTTTCTTTCCATGCCTGCTTCTGTGACATGTGACCAGTAGAAACTTTGGCCCTCAATTCCTTCCCTCTTTCCGCATTTTGATCCATAGTCTAACCTCTTAAAGACATGAATTAACCTTGGGGTATATGTTTAACATAAAGTCAAGATAAACTCTGTATGAAACTTCTACCTTTATACATATCTTAAATACATTATTATAGAATATTCCACTTTAGAGGATTTTTCCATTTTAAGATAAATTGGTCTATTTGAGGAACCTAAAATTATAATTTTGCTTTCCCACAAAACTCTCTTTAATCCTGCTGCTACCAGGCTGACCTGTAAAGATCGTATCCTAAATCTACCTTGAACTTCTTCCATTTCTCTTTAATTCCGATTTCTTTTTCTGCAACACAGCATTTGCAGTCTCTAGGGGAAAAGTCAGTCAAGTTTTAAAATGGTGACACAAACCAGAGGCAAGCCCTGTCTCCCCACCAAGTCCCCTTTCTTGGGGCCATTGCAGGGTCCCTAAGGACCTAGGCTGGTGGACCCCAGCTGGGGTCCAGTCTCGGTGACAACGTGAGGCAGACCCACAGTGGACACGCTGACCTGCTTCGTCCTCCGTCCTGGCGGCCCTCTGAGAGGTGTCCCGTCATGTCTGCTGTCCTCTCTCGCGATCGCCGACACCTTGGCAGGCTCTATAGATCATGTAAATGGTGCTAATTGTGTGCCTAGCTCAGCTCTGAGCACTTTGCAAAAACAACCTCACAGAAGACTTCATAAAGCAACCTTCAGATCAGCGCCACTGGGACGCCCATTTTACGGTGGAGCACATGGGGTGGAGACAGGTGGGCTGTGTGGCCGGCCTCCCACAGCTGCCACCCACAGCCCTCTGAGCCCGTGAAAAGGTACACAGGTGTCTAAGTTTTCCCTACCCATTCCTCCTGATCCCAGGGGGGCCAAGTCAGTGCTATAATCATAGCAACCCGCTTGGGGGCCACTCTGTGAACGTGATGGAGACAGACCCCGGGGCACCATCTTTGGAAGATTGCTCTGGTCCAGGTGTGGCACAAAGGGCCTGGAGTAGGCTCTTCCCACGGGGCCAAAGGACGCAGCTGGGAGAGGTTGCAAAGCTGCTGTGAGAGGGGGAAGGGAGGACAGGGGTCAGCAATCCGTGAGCACTTCCTGGGCAGCATTTGTCCTGGCAGCCTCTGCACGAGGGGAGTCACTGCTCACTCCTCCATTTAGACACAGGGAGCAGAGGGGCAAGAAGCCCGGGGCCCATGTGGAGTGGCACGGCCACACAGGCTCCCCATGAGGGCACTGCTGAGCCAGCCCGTTCCTATTTGGGGCGTCTTGTGACTACGCGTGTGGAGAGCACCGCCAGCAGCTCCCCCTTGTGACAGCACAATGCCCCAGACAAGGACAAACGTCCTCTAGGGGCAGATCTCCAGCTGAGAACACCTGGGGCACCCTCACTCCCACCCTGAGTAACCTGGAGATGACCCTGTGGCCCTGATTTCAGTGACAGTGTGTCGCTCAGACTTGCTGAGACACTGGAGTCCCTAAACAGCCTTACCTGGAAGAGGCAGGATGGAGGTGAAATCCCCAGCGTCTTTACCTTTGGATCGCTCTCTTCACCTGCTCCCCTCTGGAAACACCAGGTGGAGAAGGTCGCAGGTGCAGCTTCCATCGGACTTCTCTGACCTGGGGAAGCAAGCAGGCATCCTGCAGGGCCAGGTACCTCTGACCTCCACGCACACAGGCCATAAGACGCCTTGGCCAGCTCCACCCCTAGCCTCTCAGGGCTGTCTCTTTCCTCACAGGGCTGAATGCATCTCACAGTCCTGAGCAAGACTTGGCGACTGCACTCAGCCATGGCTCTCCAGGCAGGAAGACTTCTGTGAAGAGCGCTGTTCTGGAAACCACACCTCAGAGATCCCGTGCATTTTCATGAAGGGGCCGCCTGCGGGCTCTCAGATTGATGGGAGGCATTCTGAAACCAACTCCATATTCAAAAGATGAAACTAAATACGTGAGGATTAAGTACTCCAGTGAAACAAAAATTACAATTATAATATATTTTTAACAGAAGTGAACAGGTGGTGTTTTAAATCTATCCAAGATTAACCCATATTCAACACTCTAAGCACCCAGGCTGCTGTCATAAACATTGCCTAATTATGCATTCCTGGGAGTGCATTTTATGTTGGGTTTTCAAATTGGAATTTGGGTCCAACTGAAGTTATCTACACAGTGCAGTTCTTACGTAAAATAAAGTAGGGATTCTAAATATTAAGTATTTCTTGAGAAACTTCACTTTGGGGTCTCCATGAAGCTGTTCTTCAGGAAGAAACATAGTCAACAACAGTGATTTACAAGAACTTGGGGTATGTTTTCTACCTTTTGAAGTTCTAGTTGTATCCGGGTATACTTTCGGTTGGTCCACAGTAACAGTGGGATTTGTAATCCTAGGTCTTTCTAAAGTTTAGCTCGCTTTGCACTGGAATTTCCCAGGATGTCTAGCATGACAATGGCATTTATCTGGTGATATTGTTCTTGGAGGTTTCACTCCCACATTCAGGATTCTGCTGCTTGGTGGGGAACACACAGCTCCTCTCTATCCCTAAAGTAAGGGCTCCAGGCCTTCCTCATGTGGCATCACAATAGAGCACGATGGCACAATGGCCCCGGAAGAACAGGGGCAACAGAGTGACTCCTTGTCAGTGGAGACAGAGAGACAACGCCAAGCTGTGCTGGTCCTGCTGTCTCTGGAGATTGCTTAGTTTTGTCGCAGGCTGGCCAACACAGCATGAGTCCAGCCCAGACAAAGAATACTTTGATTGCTTTAGCCTTGCCATTGTGTCATTCAACAATCCCCCGCCATCACCCTAATGAGGTACTTTCTACCATGAGCATCGGAGAAGGGAACGTAGAGGGAGCTGCTGAGACGGTTTCTAGGGCCTGACTCAGTGTTCACCCTACCCCACCACCCCTGCTCTTAAAACCTCGACAAAGGGACTCTTGGGTTTCTCTCTGGATTATGGAAGGTCCGATACCCTCATTCCCAGAATTCCACTGAACTCCCCATGGCTTATGTCCCTAAGGTCATGCTGACCAATGCGAAACCATCTCACCATCTTACACACGGTGTGTCTAACTGCCACCCTGAAACAGAGGCCACCAGCTCTCTCCTCCATTTCCCACTCTGTGCCCACAGAGTAAGTTCCAGAAGCACTTGGTGTCGGTAGGAAGGTGGTAGGCTCTCATCAGCATTCAGAGGGACTGAGAAAGAAATCAAGTTTCAAGAATACATAGCTCGACTTTCTTTTTTATGTATTTTATTTTATTTTTTACACTCAATCATCATGTGATTTTACAATATTGAAAATGATTTCCCCAGCATGAACACCCTGCATGTTAGTCCAGTCAAGGAAATTACCATACACACTGTCATCAACAGACTGAAAAAATATTTGCTGCATCCCGACTCGTACTCAGGGTAACCAGCCTGTAAACCCCAGTTCAGATCTAGACCTCTGTTGGCCCCGCCACGCCCACCAGAGCTTGCATCGGAAACAGGTGCTCTCTGTATGAGAAGGGACGCTCCTGCGCGGGTTCTGATTGTGGTCCCTCTCACTCTCTGTGGGAGTTCTTGGCATGTAAGACCCACTGCATCTTCATATGAACATCAGGGCTATTTCATTTTTTGCCCCAATAAAAACTAAATTTTATTGTCCAATCACAAGTCTTGTCTGAAATAAAACTCAACTACCAAAGTAACAGACAGATAAAGGAACAAAGAGGAACAAGACACAAAATGTCACAAAAGCCGCTCAGGAAAGGGCCTTGCCCGGGTCAGCACCAAGGACAGCGCTCACGGTCTTCCAGGCATTCAGCCCAGGAAACGCAAAGCCTTTCAACACTACGTAGATTTTTCCTACTAAGGCCGGAAAGAGCAGAAGCCAAAGGCCAATTCTGTTTGCTTCATAAATAACATTCAGGACACTTGTGAGCAGTAATTTAGGCCTATAATTTGGTGACCAAAACCAAACAAATACGGGCCTGTGTGTTCTAACTTTCAGCTGACCCTTGGGTCAGCCAGTGGAACCCCCTCTCCCACGCCCTCTGGAACATTCCTAGGCTTTTGATTCACAGCATCACCAGCCCCCAACCTGCGACAGTGGGACTTTACAAGATGGGGCCTCTGGAGTTGCATTTGTAGTTTATTTTATTTTGGGGGGAAGAGTTTTTGCTATAGGGTACATGTGCTCACCAGAAAGACAGAGAGAGACAGAAAGCAAAAAATCACCCCCCAGGGGGGATGGCCATGCTGCAATCCCTTGTCCTCCATTTTCCTCTTGGGATCTTAGGCACGCAAGCACATGCGCCTAGCGTGAGTTTAAGACACCAGGTCCAGGACTCAAACCGCGGTCGACTACATGGAAGTCCAGCAACATAGCTATTGCATTAACTGCTGGTCCCTTTGTAGTTTATTTTTGTATTGGATTTCCCAGGGTGTCTAGAATGACAATTGCATTTGAATTCTTCAAGCGGTAAGTAGAATATACAGCATTTTTAAAGGGTTATTTATTTTATTTTACTTATTATCAGTATTATTTTGTAATTTGCTATAAGGCATGTGTGCTTACTCCTTTGTCTGTAATTCACCTGCCTCGTTCTTCAGCTTGCGCCTCGGCACCCCCCCCGCCTCACATTTGGTCCTGGATCCCTTCATGGCATGACAGTCTGGGTTCACCCAAGGGTCTTCACCTTCTGCTCCAGCCCACCCCACCCTTCTCTGGGATATGGAGTAGGGAAATTCCTGCACAGACAGCTTCTGTGAACCCGAAGCCACTCAACATCATGCTGGCTGCTGCTGCTTCTGTTTATTTCTTCTATGAGACAGAAAGAGGGAAA